CCAGGGCCAGGTGCCTGACAGCCTGGTGCCTGGCAGACCAGCCAGTCCTGAGCCTGCTGGCCCTGCCCCTAGAAGCCACGGTGAAGGCTCCTGACCACGTTACCCTTCCCCTCCTGCCTGGCCCAGGCCCTTCCCCACGAGGCCCGGTGTGGTGGCCCCTCCTCCTGAGACCTGTGAGAAACCAGCTCCTGCAGGGGCATTGCCTCCTGGTCGGCCGGTCTCACCACCCTGGACATAATAAAATCTACATTTCAAAACACTGCATACGCACAACCAGGAGGCCTGGCAATCCCGCCCCCCTGCCACGGGGCAGCTTCCCCTCACTGATGTGTCAGGAATGTAGACAGTCGGATCCCAGCCCCCGTGGACGCGGAGGTGTGAGCTACAGCCCAGAGGCCCCTGCAGAGGGGCCGGCATTGTCTTCCTTGGGACTGACTCCGTGGGACCTGGTGCTCCTGCTGGGCCCCCTTGTCCGTGTCCCCATCTCCTCATGGGGGAGAGTCAGCCACTGTGCAGCAGCTGTCCCCACAGAGCAGTCAGCGTGGGGCCGTCGTAAACATCCCTGGTTCTGCCCGATACCTGCAGAGGGAAGGGGTGTCCAGGACCCGCCCCTGCACTAAGGACCTGGGCAAAATCCTCTGTGCCAGCCCACCCTCTGCACCCTCAGTGTCAGACCCTCGGCCCAGGATGGGCCCCCTCACCCTCACTGTCAGACCCTCAGCCCGGGATGGGCCCTACCCCTCACTGTCAACTTCAGCCCGGGATGGGCCCTTCACCCTCACTGTCAGAACCTCGGCCCGGAATGGGCCCTGCACCCTCACTGTCAGACCCTCAGCCCGGGATGGGCCCTGCACCCTCACTGTCAGACCCTCAGCCCGGGATGGGCCCTGCACCCTCACTGTCAGACCCTCAGCCCGGGATGGGCCCTGCACCCTCACTGTCAGAACCTCGGCCCGGGATGGGCCCTGCACCCTCACTGTCAGAACCTCGGCCCGGGATGGGTCCCCTCACCCTCATTGTCAGACCCTCAGCCCGGGATGGGCCCTGCACCCTCACTGTCAGACCCTCAGCCCGGGATGGGCCCTGCACCCTCCTAATGTGACATCATGCCTCTGCTTATTTTCCAGCACCTTCTGCTGGAGCGGCTGCCGGAGCCACACAGCCAACGCTTCCGTCCTCCAGGACCCTCTAATCCCAGCACATTCCCCTTCACTGCACACGCCCCGGACCGCGCGCCTCACCTGTCACCCTTTCCTGTCACCTCCACCCCCGCGGGCGGTGACTCAGCCTGCTAATCCCCAGCTCTGCCTCCGGAGCGCACGTGGCTCCCTGCCTGCTGGAATCCGCGCCCGTGTCCTCTGATGCTGGTTCCCGCGGCCAGCGGGGCTCTGGGCAGAGAAACCCTGCCACATGGGCCGGCTGGCTTCGTGTGTGGATCTTGATTCAGGCTCCTTTGGGTGGCCAGCCCTGGAGGCCAGCCCTGGAGGCCGTGCAAGCGGGAGACCCTGTCCGTCATTGTCAGTTACTGGGAGAGCAGACCACCCTCCGCATCGAGGCTGGGCGCCCAGGCACCCCTAAGCTGGAACACATCCTCCCACCCCCTCGCTCCCTTCCCAGACCTCCCTCCAGTCTCCCCAGAGGCAACCTCTATCCTGAAGCTGATGCCCTCACTTTCCCCCTCTTGTATATGAATCTATAAACCAGCGGTTCTCAACCTGTGGGTCGAGACCCCTTTGGCGGTCGAACGACCCTTTCACAGGGGTCGCCTAAGACCATCCTGCATATCAGATATTTACATTACAATTCATAACAGTAGCAACATTACAGTTATGAAGTAGCAATGAAAATAATTTTATGGTTGGGTCACAACATGAAGAACTGTATTTATTTTTTATTTTTTTAAATATATTTTATTGATTTTTTACAGAGAGGAAGGGAGAGGGATAGAGAATTAGAAACATCGATGGGAGAGAAACATCGATCAGCTGCCTCTTGAACATCTCCTACTGGGGATGTGCCCACAACCAAGGTACATGCCCTTGACCGGAATCGAACCTGGGACCCTTCAGTCCGCAGGCCGACGCTCTATCCACTGAGCCAAACCGGTTAGGGCAAGAACTGTATTTAAAGGGCCAGAAGGTTGAGAACCACTGCTAGTAAACAATAGTGTTCTGTTTTGCTTGATTTTGACAAGTTGAAGCATGTGGCATGAAGTCTCCTGCAATTAGTTCTTTTTCATCCAATATTGTGTTTCTAAGATAACCCACATTGTCACATGTAACTATAGGTTATTCCTTTTCACTGCTGTATACTGTCCCATGTCCGACTATTGCACATCCGTATATGAAGTCTCTGGTGATGAGCAGAGCATCTAAAACATTCAAGTGGGCAGCGCCCGTGTCAGGGACCGGGGAGGCGAGCTGCTGTGCCTGGCGGAGCACGCCTGGGGATGGCAGGTGGTCATATCAACCAGTGTTCATTTCTTGAGTTTATTTATTGGTTCTTGATCATTGTAGTTGCCTTCTTAAGACAATGGTCCCTTCCAGGCAGAGCACACTGTGCTTTGACAGTCTCTCTGAGGCCTGGGTGGGCAGGGGGAGGCCAGAGGGCCCGGCCAGGGCAGCAAGGCCTCTTGGGCCGGGCTCTTGCGTCCCTCCAGCGTTATATGGGTGTGGGACTCAGAGGAACTCGGGCAAAGGCCTGGTGCATGGGACTTTCTGAGCCATGCGGGGAGGACCCTTGTGCCTTATCAATCCATTGCAGACTGATACTTTTACAGAATAAAATAGAAAGAAACAACTAGAAAGATGAAATAAACAAGCGAAGGTCTACAAAATGCAAGGCCAGCGTCTTTACTGCTGCGCTTACATGGAGTCGGCTGTCAGATGGGCATCCGTGTCTGTGATGCCCTGGGTGACCTGTGGGTCCTGCTGTGGGGCAGTGACAAGCCATTCTTCCTATGGGCTGCTTGGTGGCTGCCTTTGCATAGCCGTGCTGCCCAGGTAGGTGGGAGAACAAGAAAAGCCAAGTGGGCCAGGC